AGAAAGTGAAACGACGTAAAGTTCCGTTTTGAGACCTTTGGGTCTAACGCCGCTTTGCTCACATATGATGTTAACATTAAATTTGTTAACGTTAATGCTAACGTTAAATTTCTAGACATTCAGTACAAGTTCTCGATTTAACATTTTGCAGTCAGATCGATTCTAAACTCAGCAGTATTTCATATCTCAGGATAATTAACTGCATAGTTGATAAAGAATGCCTGCGTTTATCATCCAGACAGAATTTTCCTTGTTTTTTTGTCTGATATTGATATCAGAATTTTACAACTGCAGCGAAAGGTACTTTGATATCAAAATAATAGATTATATATAGCCCCACTCTTTGACTAAAAGCCACGCGATATCAGAATGGTCAAATTTTCTCTTCTTCTCATAGATAAAGTAATAATATTTTGTGAATGTTTTTATCACACGTAAACAAAAGATTATGCCTCGAAATTTCTTCGATTACTCAAAATCCGATCGTTCGACATTTTCGATCCGTCAGACATCTAGAACGCTATTCACAAACAAAGATTTATTAGCAATTTTTGCTATTTTTTCGATAAATCAGACTTCGTTAACTCGAAATATTGAACGAAGCGAACAACATTGCATATTTTCTTCACACTCTTCTTCCTAAATCCCTAGGCAAAAACTCATCCTTTTTTTTTGGGGGGGGGGGGGGTAAAATTCTTAAATACAAAGCGATTTGCAAATTTGCAGGTTTTCACACCATGGAAAAGGTATTATTATTTCCACTCTGGGAAATTCATTCCTTTCAAAAGGGAAACTGTTGTCGTTTCACTTGCGGAGACTAGTATTTGTCGCAAACGACGTGCGCAGGCGTTCCAGAGATAAGAATGCGTAGCTACGTGTTGAATAATTAAGTCTTTTACTTTTTAAACAAACCTGCACGAGGCCTTAATTTATGGTGCAATAGTACGGGCTTCTTTACTGTCTAGTCTCACAAGAACCAAGTCTAGAGTCCGGGTTTAGGGTGCTCAAAATGATATCCTATAAATCTCCCTGATCTTGTTCCTTTCTTTCATATTTTTACGTTATTTTCTTCCTTTACGTTACGTATATACTGGGTTTGTGCGGATTTGGAGTGAATAACGACGACACTTGATGAAGTATCGAAACACACTTTATTGGCCAGTATTATCCAAAACAGCTTCAAAATCACGTTTTACAGTCGTCGAAGAACTACTATAAACACGCTCACACAATCAGCGACACAGTCTTCATACTATCAGGCTATAACGGTGGAGACAGCTTCACTGCAAAGCACCAGAGTACAGCTCCCAACTCTGCGCGGTCGTTCTCGGAACTCCACGTACTCTTGAGACTCTCCACGCTACCATTCGCGATGCACCCGACGATAAACTAGAGTACAGCTCTCGACTCAGCACACTCTAAGACAAAACTCGACGACGCACTAGCTCGCGATACACTAAAAGACTTTCTCGATGCACTCGACGACTAACTCGGCGCTAGACTTCGAGACACTCGCTCAATGAGTGACTATCAGCTCGCTAGACGAGGCACTAACTAACTCTCCTTGTAACTAACTCTCGGGTTTATATAGTTTTTGGCTTGCTTTCGAGAACATTCTGGGCTAAGCCTGTAAGAATTCGTTCCAGAACATATGACCATAACATATGACCAATCCGTTGCTCCATCCGTCCATAACATATGACCAATTTTGTCGCCAAACGGGCGATTTCTATGCAAATGTGGCAACCCTACTTTCCTTTGTTATTTAATAGATCAATTTATTATTATTTAATAGCTAAATCTGCTTTGCGGGGAAGCTATCTTACCGCGCCTGTACATTTCGTAACAATATAAACAAAAGAAAGGGATCCTTGAGGCTCCTGAAAGGAGCTGTGTTTAGTATTCCAGAATGTTTTAATCGGTTTGGGGCAAAAATGTCATTGCAACTTTTTTAATTTTGAAATATATGATTTTATTTATTAATTCTTAAAATTCTTTCGTTAATAGTATCGTAATTGTTTAACTTGAAACTGTTTCGAATGGTCAAACTGTAACTTGAATACAAATTTCAGATTAAATTCTCCCCATTCCTTTGTTAAATGTTCTGCGCTTGAGTTGGTAACATGCGGTCACTTTCATATATGCAGTTTTTAATTTGGTTCGATACTGTCCTGAAACCACGGTTATACTTTTGCCAACAGATGAGGCTAAAAGAAAACATCGTCAGGATATCAGCTTGGCAAATTTCAAGCAATGAATAGCCTTTTAATGGTTGAGTAAGGTCAGCTTTCAAGAACTCATTTATAAAAGTTTAAATGCAAAATACGCTTTTGTAGAGATAATCTGCCTTGAAGTCTGGTAATATTAACGTGGGGATTTTGATCAGATGTCAAAGGAAATTAAAAAGGTATTGTTTAAAGTGCCACAGTAATGTAAAATACTAGTTATATAAAGTATTTTCTCCCTCCTTTCCGCATGTCTTCGTGGTATAACTGCAAGCACACTCGACGCATATCCTTGAGGTTCGGAGTTCGAATCCCAGCGAGGGTATTGCGAACTCCGTCAGTTTCCTAACATCAAATAATTCCTAATCACTGTACAGTTGAATAAAAAGAGTCAGGTGCAGTTTATGAAATAATAAATTTTTACTTCCTTGTACGAAGTAAAAAGGAAGTATTGTAATCGCGAAAAGTTTCAGCCATCGTATTTCAACGCAAATATCCATTTTCACTTCTATCGAATGCAATTTTGAGTGACATCTGTACGTAAGGACAGAATAAAGGACTCCTTTCCCCCAAAAAAATTATAAAATTGATTTAAAATGAATTCTAAAGCGTATTTTTTGTGGCGTCTGTGCGTACGTACGTACGTACGTATCTCGCATAACTCAAAAACGAATAACCTCTGAACGTTGAAATTTTGTATATAGGATTGCTATAACATGTAGATGTGCACCTCGTATTTTAGTTTCAACCGGCCGCACCAAAAGTATATAAATATATTTATACGGTAATTCCCCTAATTTTTGCTTGGCGCTTTCGGAGCTCGTAGTATGAATGAGAGAATGACGTCACGGCATCTGCTTCATGGTCTGGTTTCCTTCACAGCTCCAAGCGATCGGCACTCTGTATATATCCACTCTGTTACCCGGCTCAGTGATCTCAGTTTCTTTATTCTTATATATTTGTAAATTGTGCATTTTTTGCTTTAAAATGATTAAATTATGTTGTTTTTATTTTCCGGTTAAGATTTTTATGCCTTCAGTTAACCTACATCCAAAATTTGAGGAATTACCAACAATTTAAAGTTTTTTAATTTAATTTTTTTAAGCCTAATTTCTGATTACTATGCCGTCCATGTTTGCTTACATTTAAAACTTACCAGAATAATGGATTGTTGCCAATCTAGAGAAACTAAGCTTCTCGATAACAAAGTAACGTCTTCTTTTATAATTGCGAATTAAAGTATGCTTAATTCATTATGGAATTAACATTTAAGTTATTAACTTATTTTTATATAGAAACAGTAACTTTAATTGTAAAAATTGTTTTTTTAATTGTTTTAACTGTATTTGGTGTTTTATGCTTTTCTATAGCTATAAAATTTTAATGAAAATATTTTTAAATTTATGTATTTTTGCCTTGCCGCGAAGCGAGATCTAAATTAATAACTACCTCATACGCATTAAGTGAGCGGCGCTGAATCTCGTCTGATCAAAATCCCGACGTTAATATTATAACACTTCAAGGCAGATTATCTCTACAAAAGCGTATTTTGCATTTAAAATTTTATAAACGAATTCTCCATTTAAAATTTTATAAACGAGTTCTTGAAAGCTGACCTTACTCAACGGCGCGAAAAAGTTTTTTTTATTTGTTTAATTTCTTTTATATATCGTTTTAGATTTATTATAGTATTTGAATAGAACTAATGGTAATTCTTCAGATGTTATAATTTTTGTGCACTCTGAGTTTTAAAATGAATGTTAATGCTGTTAAGTGAGCGTAGCGCCGAAGTGTCGCTATGCTAAATAAATATAGTGAACTTTAAAGAGTGCATTTATTCTATTGTGGTCTAAGCGCTATCGACGAAGTAAGATTTAATTCAAAATTCATTAACTGTTAATTCAATATGTTTAAATTAAATGCGGGAAAATTGCGTATAATTTAATATTCCATACAAAGAAGCCATGTGGTGTATACATCAGATTTTTATTTTTAAAGAAATGTGGAACTGAAGCTCTCTAAACAGCAGTGTAGTCTGCATGTTGTTAAATAAAACAAATTTTGAATTATCTTTCTTTAAACAGTAATTAAAAAAAAATTATTAAAGATTAGAATTTCGCAAAATATTTTTAATTATAATAAACTGTTTAGATTCTAGGGTTTAAATCTTAACTTTTACTTTATTCAACAACAAGTAATTTCTTTATGTTCTTCAAAGAAATATCAGGAAAGAACTCACTTTTAATTTTACTCTACAAATTCTGTTCAAAAGAATCACGAAATAAACGTTGATTACAATATACCATTTACTGATAAGTGCAAAATATTCATTTACATAGCATTCCTTTTTTGTTGGCACAGAACTTACCAAGTTTTAAAATTTTATTTAATTATTTATTGAAGATTTATATTGTATTTCTTATAATATTTTAAATTATTTATTAAAATAATTTTGTAAAGTACTTACTGGCATTTATATTTAAAACTTAAAACACAATTAATGCAATTAGCGACACGACATAAAAGGAGCGAACGAAAACCGTACAAAATGTGAAACTAAATGCACCAGTATATCAGAATTCGGGAAGTTCCCTCCTGTATTATCAGACCACGACATTCCCACGCAGCTGCTCAAAGCGAAACTTAACCCGATCACTTTCAGTTGAGTCATTTTTTGGTGAAGGTGTTTTAGTTTACAAATGTTTTTGTTCATTTTATCTGTTCTGGCGGTATTCAGATTTAAAAAGAATTCTGAACTTCAAATACGTGAATCAAGATCAGTTATTAGTTAAGGAATGTTAAAACAAAATCGACAATAACTTATGAATAATTCCAAAATGAAATGAAATTAACTTCCACCGTTTACAAAAGCGAAGACGAGATGATTATTGTCAGTCGCCAAATATACTAAAAAAATTCCCCAATAGAAGACGTATTTCAGTTATTAAATGTTAAATTACGTAATTGTCTTTTAGCATTCATTTTACATATTTGTTAACGCAAAATTTAATATTTTAACGCTTATAAAAAGCTACAGTAAATAGATATTATTTAAAAAGAAATCTAACAAAAATCGCCAAAGATTGCAATTCTACCGAATCTGGAAACCCAACCAAACTTTCAGTTTCGGTTACGGGTTACCATTTGAGAGAAGGTAATTCCCCTGCAACGCCTTTACAAACATTGTAGCTTCGCTATCTATTTATGACTCTTATTTTGGAGCATTTGTGTTTTAGTAGATCAGAAGAATCATGGATTTTTTTGAAATCAAGTCGGGCGTTGATATTCTTCAAAGCTTCGAAAGTGATTTATTAGAATTTTATCATCAAGTCCTAAGCAAAGAATTCGATTTGTCAAATAAATGTAATGTTCTTACATTTAAACGTGCTTTGGGACAAATTTTGCATAGTGTTCACAACCATAGCGCTCTGGTGTATAATACTCCTGCTAAAAAAGCAGCGTACCTATTCTGGCGTTCACCTATGATTTCTAGTATAGCTGGCCGTCATCTATTGCAATTATTCAAACATAATCCTCGCAAAATTGACCAAGCGTTTCTTCGAGGGGAACTGAAAGTTTGTTGTCTTGGTGGAGGTCCAGGTACAGATGTTGTAGCTGTCAGCAAAATCGTAACGGTTCTGCATCATTTTTTCTGGTTTCATAACCGACAGCAGTTGAAACTGAAATTCACAATCATTGATAGTGAGGAGAACTGGAAAATTACAGCCAAAAATGTGGTGGAAGTGCTGGAGCAAAATCCTGAATTTTTCGATGCTGAAAAGATGAGCTTGAGTTTCCAGTTCTTGAAAGCTGACCTTACTCAACCGTTAAAAGACGATTCATTGTTTGAAATTTGCCAAGCTGATATTCTGACGATGTTTTATTTTAGCTCATCTCTTGGGGAAAACATAACCAAACCTGCACAGCATCAACTGATTCAGGTAAGTCAGTATCTTCAAATATTTTACATTCAACTTCAAATAGATTGTTATTGTTATCAAAATTTTGTTGAACAATCTATATATAAATATTTTAGTGTATGGATTTAAATGCTGAATTTGAATAAGACTGTTGTAAATTCTTCTAATTATATTTTTTGTTAAAATTTTATCTAACTTTCGTAATTTAACTTTGGAATTTATAACATTTTTTAAAAATTTCTGGTTCAAAATTCCTGTTACAATAGTATATGTAGTGTAGTATTGAAATTTGAATTAGTACTGTATTGTAATGTAATGAAATTGTATTTGAATTAGACTGTTATAAATTAATTCTTTGTTGGTATTTATAATAAGAATAGGTTTTTCACGCATGGTAGTTTTCCCCCCCTTATTTCCTTCCTAGTTTTTTAGTAAAAGAACTAAACTGAAAAGTGTAAGTTTCCATTCATATTAATTATTATAAAATGAATTCGCATATTAATTAACAAGTAACGCATTAACAATGGAATATGGAAAATGCGTATAAAATTTAACGATTGTTCTCACTTTCAGGAAGTCATTAAAAAATTTCGAATCCTTTTAAAGAAGATAAGATCTAAGTTTTTTGACGCCGATGAACCCAAAATTTTTAGTTGACTTCGCAATCTCTCTTCGGTATCAAAATTAATTAAAATAGTAAGTGCCTTGTAATGGCTCATCATGATAAACGGATACAACCCTGAACCCTGGTTCGTAACAAGTTCTGTTTACGAGCGGATCGAGACTGAAGTTTCCTTGTTGCGTTGTGTATATAGTGTATTCAGTATTTAAATTCGTTTTGAAACTGAGTACCGATTACGTCCACGATTCACGTTTTTATTGGATCTTCTATTGTCATAAGAATATAGAAAAATAACTTATTACAGAAAAGGTAATCAGTTAACTAATAGGCTTATAAATTCACCATCTGCAGTGTCAACTTAAAATATGAAACGCCGTTTTATGTATTAAGTTTTAAAAAATAAATTCATTTTGGAAAGAACGAAATTGCTATGTTATTTCTTCTGAAACGCATTGTAAGGAGCATTATGATTTCTTTTCTGTTCGAAATATCCTTCTGGAACCACACGCATCTTTTATGCGCAGTATAGCATTTAAAAATGTATTAAATAAATTAATAACCTAACCTTCCACTTTTTGCGTTGACAGAAAATATGCTTATTTAGTTTTATTTAAACGTTATAGTTCTAACAGTTCCGTGAGTCGACAGAAAAGATCACTGCTATAAACCAAATCAACCACCTGCCCCAGTGTGTGTGGTTTATTCTCTCAATCATCCATAGTTTTTGTGAGATTCTCTAGAAGGCGAGATAGATATATTTCTTGCAATATTCTTTCTGATGGCTATCTCTCTGGTCTCTTTACTTCTCCCATTCAAATTTATTCCTTGGGCCCAAGTAAATCGTAAATCCAGAAACTTGAGACCAAGGTCTCTAAAATAGTAGACAAGTAGTGCCATCTAGTGGCGAACTGGAAAGATCATATATTAAAGTATAAGTACTGCTTGTGAAGACAGTTTCGTTGAAAAAAAGAAAATAGCGAGAGTTCGAAGCCTGCCATGAGAAGTAAGACTATATATGCTGGTTTATTAGTTGCCTGATTGATCACGTGATGGCTGTCTGTCTCAAAATTGTATGTATAATAAAAGCAGCTCTTGAAGCAGCTTTGGTCTGTAAAAAACCTGGTATTGTCTAAATAAGATAATTTTACCTTGCCGCACAAAAATTCAATGCAAAATGAGAGCATCAATCTTCGATCTATTAACGTAAGAGGAGCAGCATAATGGCCCCTGTGCTTAACCCAGTCGATTGTTAATTTTTTTTACTGTATTTATAGATTTGTAAATTTGCCTGTAAGGAAGGGGCCCAAGGACCAATTTCGTTTTGGCATTTTTGCATTGAAATGTCGTTCACTTTTTAAATTGTTGCTACCAAATATTAGAGCCCTGTATTATATTTAATGAAATTAAACAACGAAGCATCTGCATGAATATATGTATGTTTCTCGCATTGAAATTACAATTCTCAGAAATTTGTTTGCATCATCGAATAAAGCGGAAAAAAAAATCTTTTGGTTGAATTTTGTATTAAAGTTTTAGCATTATTTTTGATTCTTTAGCGAACTTTGGAAAACCGCGTTTTTCGACAATTTGACGTCCGTGATTTTAAAAGTTCAACAGGCTAAAAGTTTTTACTCTCAACGCCAAACTAATTTCATCAAACAAGAATGCGGAAAATATATCAATTAGACGATTTTTTTAAAGTATGCTGGAAGATGAACTGGACATTCCTGGGAACCGATTCAAGGTTTGAGGTCCAATACAGAGCTTTTTTTGGCGGGGGTCTTTCATGCAGATTTTTCTAAATTTAATTTTAATTTTTGCACTCTTCTTGCTACAAAGAAATTACCCGCATAGAAATCAGAATAAGCTTGCTATAGAAGTTTTCTGCGATTTTATAAAGGCTTTCTGTCTCAACAAGATGACTTATTGATGGTAGCCCCCCGCATTAGTCGTTTACAGGAGAGTCAACAGGAGGTCCGTCATTGCAGTGGCGTTAGTTTCCAAAACGTCATTTCCAGACCATGGAATCGGTTCTGGAACTGGAGATGTTTTCCCAATGCATATTAAAAATTATGAGAGTGCCTATAGTTCAAAACCCTTGTCCCTCCATCATAATTAATAAATAGTGACAGAATAGATGCATAAGTGTTAACTTGATGCTCAATAGAGGGAGCCACAGGCTCAAGAAAGGTTAGGGATCGCGAAAAACAAACTTAAACATCGTTAAGATTTTTATAAGTTTTGGATTTTTTTTTTTGTACTTTTATTTATACTTTTTTTTAAATGGACATGTTTGATAAAATCGGGACACGGTCGTGTTTGTTTTTAAATAAAAAGCGGGAATTATAGTGCATTTCGTTTAAAAAATAAAAATATATTCTTTGGAATAAAGTGGAAAATATATACGGATATATTTTGTTGATGTAACTGCAAACATCATTCCAATTTTATCAGTTATACAAGGAAATAAATATGAATTATATACAGGATTATTAGTTTTAAAAACACCTTTTCAGAAATCGATCAAAATAAAAACTGAATTTTCCTGAAATCTTGTTTGGAGACCATTTGGCGCCCCCTTGCAAGCGGCGCCCGGGGCACCTACCCCTCCCCCTCTCCCCGCTCTACAAGTGACCCTTTAGCTTGTAAGTTTAAAAAATGTGTTGCCTTTCCTTTAATCACTAAAACCTCTTTTTCTTTAAAAACAGCTTTTTTCTCCCATTTTTAATATACAGTACATACAGTAATTAATTAAAGGGTACTTAGACCTTTGCTTCGGGGAAAAAAAAAAAATCCAGGTATCCTAATGGAATCCGGTCCCAATTGATTCGGATAGTTGGAGTTCTGCTGTATTTAGGCGTGGTATCGCGTGAGTCTGGTGGCCCCTGATTTTCGCAGCCCACGTACTCGCGTTACCCCAGCCAGGCATGACTCTGCTTTTTGAGCTTAATATTTTATAGCCTTCTAGTAACATCTCTTAATCTTCATCGTTAATTTCCTGAAACATATCATCCACTCAGCTTGGACTACTTGCTCAAACATAACTATTATCACCTCGATACTTTAATTCTCGGGATTGCCTTTTATTTAAATTTTTTTAATTTTTAACGGGCGATTTTCCGCCTTTCTCCCCCCCCCCCCCCCCCCCCCCCCCCCCCCCCCCCCCCCCCCCCCCCCCCCCCCCCCCCCCCCCCCCCCCACCCCCCCCCCCCCCCCCCCCCCCCGTGCAAGTTCTACGAATCAACATTACTTAAAATAGACTATTGTTATAGAAAAAATATCATACGTACTTCGCGCTGAAAATTATAGAGAAATCACTGGTTAAAAATTAGCGATAACTCCTCCCAGCCAAACCGTGTAAAATTTAATATGCCAATAGTAGCTGAGTAAAACTCCCATATGCAAATAGTGGGCTGCACTCGGAATACGTCATTGCGAGGAGCTGCAGAGCTCGCTAGAAAGCCATCGAGACTAGAGGCGGACAAGTCAAATAGAAGTGGCCAGATGGCTAAATGGAGTCCTTCTGTTTTCATAGACTTTGGAGGCAACTTCATATCAGAGTTTCGGCACCTAGAGGTTCAGCCGAGGACGACCAAATGACGACGAGCGCGATGACCGTATAGAATTATGTGCACTCCTTAGAACCCTACTCCTCTTCTAATCTCCCTTGGGCAGCCAACGTTGTTGTCAACGTGTGCGTAGAAGGCTTCACGAAGGTGGTCTGTATGCGAGGCGAACAACCATTTCGTGCCGCTCAGTCAACCATAGCAGGGACCGTTTACAGTGGTCACGACGACATGTCCACTGGACGCCTGAAACAAGGAGGGTATTTTACGGATGAGGGTTTAGTCTAGAAACGCGTAGTAGGCGTTATTTGATATGGAGAGAACTGGACCCGTTATTATACGTCAAACATCGTGAATGAGATGCATCGGAGAGGAGTGTCTATGTGGGGTGGCATCTCTTTGGGTGGGCGCAAGTCCTCCACGTTTTCCAACGGAAACCATAATACTCCCGTTTATAAAGATGCCCATCCTTGACGCTTATTGGGCCTATTCCGCAATAGGTGATGCTTCATGTTACAGGGACACCATGCAAGACCCCACAGGGCTCATCGTATATGATTATCTCAACGGAAACAATTATGCGCATGGAGTGGCCAGGCTCGATCCCTGGACTTGAATCCCTATCGATCACCTTTGGGATGCTTTAGGGAGATGTCTAGCTGCTCTCAATCCGCCCCTTTAGACCCTTGTCGCGCTTTCAACTGCTTTGCAAGAGCAATGGCTCTCGCTTCCATGGAACTGATAGACCGCATAATTGAAAGCATCACACATCGCTGAATGTGCTGTATTTCTTCTAGAGGCGATTATATTCCATATTGAAGGTACTTTTACTGTAGCAAACTGACATCTTCGATTTGTTCATTCATTTTATACATGTGCTAATTTCATACTACCATAATTGTCTGGGTAATTTTTATGTATTTGATACCTTACTATGTGTTGTGTATATTGTGGGTATTTTCATAATTTTACATTACGTTTACAGTAATCTTGTTTGTGATTTTTCCTTAATTTTGATAACCATTGATGAAGTTCTTATTATTTCCTCTTGCTAAATATTCTCTAAACTTGTATAGCAGAGATAGATAAGAGAATTTCAACGAACAAGGTGTGCAGAAATATGGGGATCTAATATCCAAGGTAAAGGAATTCCTTTCGTGGGAGTTATATTTTTACTGTTGCATCAATGTGTACATATAATAAAAGAAAGAGTCTGTCTGTGTGTGTCTTTCGTTCATGTTGCGCGTAAGCTAATAGACCCACGGCTACGGAATTTAGTATAAGTGCATCTAGACAAGAGCATGCACCTCGGAAGAATTTTTTTTCGAATCATTTTGAGTAAATTCATTTTAGAAATGGGTTTTGGAAAGTTTCATTCAATGCTTGTATGGACTGCGCTTAAATCCTATCAAGAAAGAGTCTCTCTCTGTGTGTGTGTCCTTTCGTCGCGCTGCGCGTAAGCTAATAACCCACGGCTAGAAATTTGGTACTAGTGCATCTAGACAAGAGCCAGTGGCACCTCGAAGCGATTTTTTTCGAAATTCAATTCGAATTTTTTTATTTTTGTTTTGTGACGAAATCGCGTCACATTGAGAATTGGCTATAAGAAAACGAGATTTTACTCTAACATCGTCTTTCCTGTCATGCAACGTAGGCCTTACTTTTTACGAACTTAATAAATTTCGTGTTTCAAAAAAATCGATCAATGATTTTTTACAAAGCGCTAACGCATTTTCAACGGCTTTTTTCTAAAAAGTTTTTTTTTAAAATGACAGTTTATTTTTCTTTTTTGGACACTTTCCCTTCTATCCTGCGACTGCTTTTTAAAATAATTTTGGAAAAAAAAGATTTTTGTATTTTTAAAAAACACTTTCACGTGCTTCGAGTACCTTCTCCATCTTAAAAAAAAAAATGTGATTTTGGCACAATTTTCCCGTCCTTATTGTGAATATTTTTGGCATAGCATCCTTTTTCTAGCCATTTTTAGAGGGTTGGTATCCTCATGTTTATTATTTAGCATATTCTGTGAATACATTTATATATAATAATTTTTTTTGATAAGTGCGTTGCGCGGGAAATTTGTGTTTTTTGATGCTTCATGTTATTTTTTGATTATTTTCTTTTGTAGATATTGAAAGTTTGCATGGTTTTTTTCTTCAGCGGCCAGTTGGTTAATTTTTTTTTATTAGATATTAATATTTTTATTAATGGAATAGCTTATTTCATGTAATTTTTCTCTCGAAATATAAGATAAAATATCATTAATTATCCTTTGCTTTTCAGATTTTTGTATTCTTTATTATTTATTGCACATTTCACTGTTTAATATTTGAAAAGTTTGGTGATTTTTTTTAGGAAACAGTTCTTCCTCTTTATACCATTTGTGTTCGCAATTTTGCAAAGGGAAGTTCTGTTAATTTATGTACTTATGATAAATTTAATATTTTGTATTAAGGGATATTGCCTAGTATAATAAAATCTTTATTTGGCTTTATTTTTTCACACGGTTTTTTACGATCTGAAAAGTTAGCAAAAACTTTTTTTTTTTTCACAACCAAGTTGATTATTTTATTATTCATTCAGTAATTTTCGGGTTACATTTTGTTGATCGCATCGCATCTTTTGTGACGCGCATGGTCTTGCGCAAATTTCCTCTTTTTTTCACCCCCCCTCGGTCTTGGACTCGCTTTTGATGGTTTCAAATCCAATTGCTTAGACTTCTATTGTTTTCATGGTATTTTTATTTCTTGTATTTTTTATATTATATTATATAAAAAATTTTGCATGTTTTTTTTTTAAGGTAACAGAGTTCTTAACTTCCTTTATACCTTTTGAATTTGTAACATTTTGCAACGAAAAATTGGTTAATTTATTTATTGGGATAATTAATATTTGTGTTAAAGAATATTGCTTATTTCATTGTAATTTTTTTAATAATACATTTTTATTGAATATTTCTTTTAATAAAGTTGTTCTGCAGAGTAAAATTCTGTACAGGTTTTAAATTTAATGTTTGTTTTTCCCTTTAGGCATTTTTACGGTACATTTAAAAGCCAGACGAAAGCTGACCGCGTAGCGGCTAGTAACAAATAAAATAAGCAAATTTTTAAATGCAATAATATAGCATTTAAAAATCAAATTAAAAAAATGCCTTTGCGAGAAACATGTTAAAAATTGTATGCATAATTTAGTATTTCTGTTTATATTTTCAGAAACTCTTTGACAACATGAAAACTGGTGCACTACTGTTTTATATTGATGTGGCATTGTGTCGCCATTACAGAGCTATGAGTGTCAGTGCCAACATGTTTCAAAATTTAAGCGAAGTTTATGGTCCTTTTGAGCACAAACTGCATTTGCTGCCTCTGGATGCCATCAAGAAACACATCCATCTTTACTCCAAGGACTTGGGTTACAAAATGTGCCTCTATTCTTCCATCAGCACTGTGAGTGCCTGGTACAAAGAATCTTCGCCTCCTCCAAATTTGACATCGGTGATGGAAAAAATAGATCTTGTTCGAAAAATGCGAATCGGAAAATGTCAAGATAAAAACCGGAGCGGGATGAACGTAAGTCAGAAAAAAATCGAAAAACGAGAAAAGCAAGCAATGCAAATGAGACTTAGTTTAGAAAGAAGACTTGCAAAGCAGGCAAAAATCCGTGAAAGGGAAAGAAATATAAGCTTAAACTCTTCCAAGTTAAAAGCTTTTAATTCTCAAGTTCAGAGACTGATTTCGGATAGAGTGGACAGCGATGACAGCGAAGCTGAAGAACAGAAACATTTCGAAGGATCACGAGTTGATGGCGAGGATGCAGCATTTTTTCTAACGAAGCCGAAAGCCAAGAGAATATTTTGAAAACCAGAATTTCAAGAAAAGTTCCCCAATCTAAAGAGAAAAAAATCTAAGAAATCCATGCGCGAAGAACTCTAGATGAAGTATTTTGCAAAAATACAAAGTAAAAGATTGTATCATCATGTTCTTTTTCACGTACGAAAGAACTCTAGATGAAGCATTTTTGCAAAGTACAAGAGTTTATCATTTGTTTCCTGTAAAATACATTTTGTGTTAGTTTAAAATTGAAATATTGTATCATGGTGTCAATCCTTTTTCTGTTGAAAAGCAAAAAATTATACCTATTAGTATCTTTTCGTTCTGTCAACCTTAGTATCTAATATTTTTTTCCGTTTTTATTCAAAAATTATATTATACCTTTTCTGTCCTGTCAAAATTATCACTACTTTTTTTTCTGTTCCAAAGTTCATATTTTTCGTTCCTTTCAAAATTATTATACCTTTTTGTTCGTTCACAAAACTTACACTCTTTCTTTCTGTTCCGTCAAAATGATCTTCCTTTTTTTTTTACTCCACATACGTCAGCTTCAGTATTTCAATAATAAAATATTTGAAGCAAATAAAGTTTATACTTCTTGTTTCAGTCATGAAATCACATTCAATATGTTTCGTTATATTTTTTAATCTTCGTCTAAGGAAAAAGATGAACTTTATAACTCTAAACCCCAAAGAGAGCTTTTTATATTAAAGAAAATAACTAACCTGATATTTATATTAAATGAACTAAAAAATAAAATATCCGATCTTTAAGTTTTTTTGTACTATTTATTTTATGTTTATTGAAGATTATTCTGTGTTTCACTTGGAAGAAAAAGAATGTGTAACAAGTTTTATAACTGTTGTTTATGTTTGATATTAATTCTACCTGAGTCGTTAGTTAGCTATTGTAATATATGATTAACAATTTGTTACATCTGTTAATCCTCTGTTTTATTAAGTCATAAAGCCAAATTAAAATTTGCAAAAGCTAAAGGAGAACATTATAATTTTTCTTGCTTATGTGTTTCGTTTCCTTGATTTAAATTTCATAAACCTGCCTAATATAGCGTCCGTAAAGAAACCTTATTGTAACTTTTTGATTTATACATTTTCAAAATTTTAACTTTATTAAAATAATTTTTTGTTTGTAGAACTCAACTATCTTATCGCACATCAAACTGAAAATTTGTAAATACAAAACCCCCAAAGAATTTTCCAATAACTTCATTTCAATTATGGTTGTTACCATTCCATATCTATGGTGTACTCCTTATATTCTTGAATGATATTTTTTATATCGAAAAATTTCAAACTACTGTTAAAGTATATGCTATTTTTGAACAGTTAAGTATCTTATAGTAACACTTACAATTTGGAAAATAAATTATAGATCTTACATATGGCATACTACAATAATAAATACAGCGTCGACTAGCAACAGTTCTGACAAATATTTGCTATTTTTTTCCCCGTCGAAAAATAAAAATTACCTAGAGCTTGGAACGATGCATGTACCACCCACTAAGTAAATTCCGCAGACGTACCAACGATGCGCGCGCTTAAAATGCGCTTTTCGATTATTCTGCAGTTTTGCTAAAATTTGTTGTCTTTCTCAATGGGAGATTTTTTAAAACTCATTAGAGTATTAATATTTATAAGTAGTCCCCAAATTATGCGTTAGCCAACTCCGTTCAGCTCGATTGCTTTCATGACTGGCGTTTTTTTTCCCAATTGGTGTATTTCTTGCAATGAGAAAAAGTCGACAAGTATCTTTATAGCCTCATCTCCTCGATAGTCCCCATAGGGAATGTGTCTATGGAATAATTTCCATTTGCAGGTTAATTTTCTTTTTCGCATGCCCCCGCTTTTTTCCATCTTTGTACTTCTGTGTTAGATATTTTTTCTATTCTCCATATTTATAGCGTCCCTTTTTGCTCTCTTTTTCGTTTTTTCATCGCGTGCTACAAGCCTATACTTTATTTTTTTTTTGCCCTACCACACGTTCTTATCTTTTGCTATTTTTTTTAGATTGTTTTTGTAGATAATAATTACAATTTTTTTCATATGGATAGAGATAAATAAATTGTGTGATGTCAGTGGTCTACGAGTTCGTACACTTATGATTTTTTTAAATCGGGATCTTCCATTATTCCAGTAAACCTGAATGAGATTTAATAATCGCTTTCTATTCGTAACAAATTAATGAAATATTTTAATTACGAACTTTATTTTAAGATTATTCAAAAGATAATTTTTTATTCACAAAAGTCTTCTACACTGAAATATTTTTGGTAAATTAATAGAATTTGCTTTGCCGCTTTTTTTATTTTTTTCATGGTGTGGTTTCAAATGTTTGGCTTTAATTTTTTATGTTTCGTCATTATTCTATTTATTATTGCAAAAAGGGTTGCAGTGTAAGTATACAAACATCAACATCATTCGAAAGTGATATTTTGACCATTTCGTGGTAATCATTCGCAATCGTAAATATTAATTTATCCATCTACAGTGCAGTTGTATATAAACGCTTTCCAGAAGCCCCGGATTGAAACAGGTAAGACGGTCGATCGAGAAAAGTTACTAAACGTGATGGGAGCTTAGTTAGAATTTGTGAAAACCCACTTTGAGTACTGTAAAGTTTCTGCAGAATTTAATGAAAGTTTTCTACTCATTTCTCTAACCTTTCGACGAGTTCTCGAGGCGGGATTACATAGCGTCGCCCGAAAAATTTTTTTAAGAGTGAGAAACACAGACTTAAGGCTTCATTCGCAATCAATGCTCATACACCGAACGTATGGCATGAAACGACTGGGCAAACGTCGATACTGATGGATAAGAAAATGAGAAGTTCTTCTAAGAATAGTTGGCTTAACGTGGTATGGTGTGGCGCGCCTTGGACTGGTTTGCGATGGCATGCATCCTATTTATATTTTGACAATTTAAGTTCGCCCAAAATTGTGTATTGCTCCTTTTTTTCATCTTTTACCTTTTGGGTCTCCCGAGCCGCCACGTTTCGGTCTCCTTTAACCAAAACATTTTGTACCTTTTGAATGTCACGGAGCCGTCCGTCTAACCTCGTCTGTTTCCTTTTGCAAGTTTCCTTTTTTCTCGTTTCTCTGCTTTATACTCCGCTCCTTTTTTCTTTCATTTCGTTGGCATCTTTTTCGATATGGCGTTTTCGTCATACATAGCTGATTTCTCTCGGCCTTCACCTTTGTGATCCAGTAAAACTTCTCTTTCGCTTTCGATTTCCTTTCAATAATATGGTGTAAATACTCAAGTCTGCTTTTCAGTGGTCTTTTCCATTTTTTGTTTGCCTCATTTCAGGCCATTCCTCCTTCGAATTTATGTTTACCTTTTTTTTTTTTTTTTTTTTTTTTATCCTCTCTTAATCCGCCATGACTTCATTTTTCACGGGTAGCCAGGAAATGCCTCCCTGCAAGCCCTGCTTTCATGTTTCTACATACGCCCACACGTAGCTTTACATTATTACCGGTTTTTTGCTTCTTGCGCCCATTTAAGAAATTTGTAGTAGAAATTTCACACCAAAAGCCCCACAAAATCAGATTAAACGACCATCGTTTCGTCGAATGACAGCGCTGGCTTCTTCTTCTCATGGTTTCCCTCCAGCAAGGAAACAAGAAAAAACAAAAAAAGAGGAAACAGAAAACAAAAAAACACAATTAGATGAAACCCGACAAAAAAAAATTTTGAAAAAAAAAAAAAGAAAACTTAAGGAATATGATAAAAGGATAATTGTGTTTCTTTGTTTTTCCTCGAAACGTTTGGCAAAGTAAATACCAGAACGCTAAAAAAAAAAAGAACTGACAAAAAGCAAGAACAAAAAAAAAGGGAAGAGATTTTCCTTTATGTCTTTAAAAAAGAAACAAAATGTATTAGTGAAAAATAGTCATCAATTCCAGGGTGAGTTTTACCAAATGATGTTAAATTTGTCCTGAATATAGACAACGGTTCATATTTTCATTTAAAGTTTTAGTAAGAGATAACGTCTATGTCTTATTCTTTCCACCAAACTGCAATCCATTATTCGGCTAATGGATATCGAAGTGCTGCGCACGTTGAAATGTATATATGAAATCTTTTTGAAGGGTCACAAAAACCATTAAAGAATTTTTGAAATATTAAAATGTGGAAAAGTGATAATATAATAAATAAAGCTGATATCGTAGAGCTATTTGGCTATTTCGAAGCAGGAGAGATGAAAATTGAGCAGTGCCCTCGCCGGGATTCGAACCACGGACCTCTAGAATATGAGCCGAGCGTGCTGACCTTTACACTACGAAGCCATGCTAAAAAGGCGAGAGAAATACCTTATAATATAACAGAAACTTTTCATTGTTATAACAATGCTCCAATCATTAGCCAGCTAACGGAAGGCGAAATCTGTTGTATGATTTTGAAGTCAGAAAATAACGTTACCGATGGTAAAGAAACTGAGAAAGAAGTTGAGGCGAATGAAAAGATTTCGATTGGCAATCTGGTAAGAATTTTCGACACGGAAATTACAGAACTCGAACACGGAATGAATGTGTGACCTTTGCAAACAAACAATAAATTATGTCTGTTTATAAAATTAAATTAACACGAAAAGCTAAACAGCTTAATATTGAAAAATATATTTAATAAAACAAGCAAATAAATATTTTGCCCTCAGCGACTGGTGGGTAGGAAGACATTTAGAGCAAATTACTTTCAAGGTTTCAGCGATGTCTGTACTGTGCATTGCAGTAAATACCTGTGCGTATACTATTATTTCGCAGTTACACAAAGTTACTACAAGCACTCACTGTTGCATTTTTTTTAATTAGAGTTTAGTTTAGAAAAATACTCATTTTGTTTATTAAAGATCATGTCGCAGTTATACTGTAGAGACATTAGGTTATTTTAAAGTAGGAGACATGAAAAATGTGCAGTGCCCTCGCTGGGACTCGAACTACGGACCTCTTGAATAGCCACTGAGCGTGTTGTCCTCTACACCACGAAGACATGCTAGGATGGCGGGAGAAATACCTTATAATAAGAGTGCATATAATAGTGGATGTTCTGGCATATAATCCAGAAGGTAATGATGCGATGGTTGTATATGGATAAAAATAACTTGCTTAACATTAAATGTTCCTCACAGATTAAAAATTCAAATGATAATTCAGATTTTGTACTGTAATACTTCATCGCATTGAATTAATATTGCATAGTTTTCATAGACTAAGAGCTACTGGGCGCATTGGTGGTATATTCGTCAAAATAGTAAAATTTGTTTCAAAAAGTGACCCAATAAATAGCTGTAAAATAAATTGTAGAAAGCGAAATAATTATTTAAACAGATAGTCGAACTTATGCAGCTAGTTATATATTTATTTACATGAATATTTAAAAATACATAAATTAGAAAACTGCATATAAATATACTTAATTTTTTGTTTAATAAAATTTGGTATGGTATAATATTTTCCATTTCGTACATTCATGACAATTAATTGCCATTTAGACATTCAAGCACACATTATTTACGTATAAACTCTTCCTATTTCTAACAATGTTACGGCTGCCGATAATGTAAAACTTAAAAAAAAAAAAAAATTATAACGAAAGTTTGAAAAGAAATCTTCTCAACCAGCGAAAACCACTAAATAATATTTGATGAAAGACTAAGCACGTAGATTATCTAAAAGCTTCTAGAACTTGAAGGTTTAACTCATGTCAGAAATATGATACCGAATTCATTACCAGTTTACTTTTAACGAAGTTATTTTTTAAAGTGGATTTTCTTTGGCGGATAAGCTACTTAGCTTCCCCATAGAAATAGCCGTTTATCTGTTAGTATAAGTATAAGTACTTTTCATACAAAGTGGAAAATTGGTTTTAAGCAATTTGTGTGAAACAGCTCGTACAATGAAAGACAGGGTTCGTGAGCGGTCCTTACAAGTGCTTATAAGTCCTTATATTTGAAAATAAAATATAAAGGCCCTTATAGGTGCTTACTTTTTCTTTAAAGCCCTTATTTTTTTGTTTTTAGTGCTTATTTTTTGCTTTTAGTGCTTTTTTTAATGAAAGCGCATTTCCCCCCGTACAAAGCCGAAACTAAATAAACAACTTTTCTTCCTATGCAACGTTAAATGGTGAATCACCTGGAATGCCCCCCCCTTTCTCTGCATTAACGAACCTGGTACGCGCGAGTAACCGATAGTCAAATATTTTTTTTTTTTTTTTTTCCAATCCATTTACAGTACGGAAGTTGGGAGGGTTCTTTCTCCGAAAAAATCTCTAATATGAAGCAGCGGACTTTTTTTTTTGTCACTGTCCAATCTGGATTGAATAGGACTAAAAGTTTTTGCGGTCCTAACCCAACAGTAAAGATTGATTCTATTCCGGAAATTTAACGCAATCTGTTGAAAATTAGAATCAGAAACACCCCAGATTAGTAAGTCTCTCTTTTCCTTTATTTAGTTCTTTATTCCTAATACCGCAGCTGTTGATTCCAGTAGCGTAATCATGTGTGGAAGAATTACGCCGCACGTATTGCGCATAACGTTGCGGTATTTTGCAGAGATAATTATTTTGATTTTCAGTACGAGATTTGTTTAATAACACTTAAAAGAGTTTACTGTGCTTTCTAAGCAGAATATTTCTCAGTTCCGTGGTCTGTTTTTATATGATGCACAATCGAATGTCAAATCATTTATTAGCCAGAAATCTAAAGAACGGTTACAATATCCCCCACCCTCTTTTTCCAGTTACTATCCGGAATTCGGCAATTCCCATGCGGGTTAGTTAAGTTTACGGTTAAAGATGACGATGAAGCATTTCTCGTCTTTGATTCAGAAATGTGCCTCTTTTTTACTTAAATTCTTTGCTTGAATATATGTTAAGGAAAAACGTTATGCAATGAAAATTTAGAAAATGTTCAGAATTTTAATTTATGTTAAATTATTAAATATTAATATGAGGAAAAATGTACTTATTATTAGGTGCCAAACGAACAATTAATATGGCTTTTTATTATTTATTTCTATATTTTGAATTGACATTTCAATGCTCATTCTCTTAATAAATATTGCATTGCATATTAAATTACAGCTAATTTTTCTTTTAAGGTTATGCAGTTGTATATAATGTAATTAGACAGGTGCTTATTTTTTCTTTAAAATGTGCTTATAGGTGCTTATTTTTTTAACTAAAATGTGGCTACGAACCCTGGAATGGCTAACATCTTTTTTTTACCTACATAACAGCATGATGGTATTTCGTTTTATTTTGCTTTCCTCAAAATACTGCAGCTAAAATTCCTCATAGGTAGAATCTTTGGATTTTTTCCTCTTTTGTTTGCTCGGCGTATCTATCAACGGTTGCAAAAATATACGCTTAATTTTTGGTTTTGTTAAGAAATATGCTCCATTTTCAAAATCATCTTCCACCTTGTGTTTGCTTTCTTCAACGTTGCAATCCATGTAATCCCCAAACATCTTCTGAACTTTACAATCAAGCGCCTTTAACTTTTCAGCATTTAAACTCACAGTTCTATTTCTTTTTTGCATCCTTGCCTGATGTACGTCTTGTCTTTCTGAACTAAGTCTCATACGAGCTGTTACCTTTTCTTGCTTGTCCAATTTTCTCTGGTTTGCATCACTTTCACTAAGGCGTCTTTGAGCTGGTTTACTTGCTGCTGGAATTGGTTGAGATTCTTTGCACCAAGCGCTTACAGTGCATGTGCAAGAATAGGAACACATACTTAAGCCTAAATCCTTCGAGTAAAGTTCGATATTCCTTTTGATGGCATCCCAAGGTAGAATATGCAGTTCGCGCTCATGTGGCCCATAAACTTCATTCACGTTTTGAAACATGTGAGCGCTGACATTCATAGCTTTGTAGTGTGAAGATAGAGGCTCATCAATGAATAAAAGCAAAGCACCGATTTTCATGCTGTCAAAGATTCTCTGGAAAGAAAAAAGAAGACATCAGTTTTAAATTTCAGAAACAAAATTCAGAAAATAACAAGTAATGAAATTCAGTTAATTCGCAATCGCAATCGCACTACAAAAATAACAGTAGAAATTTTTTTTTTCTGTTTTTTGGTTCACCTAGAAGGAGAGTTGTTACATTATTATTTATAATAGCAATAAATATTTGTGGTTTGTTAAAAATCCAGAACGTTTTAATGATTGATAGCTGGCATTCTCAGCAAAAAAGAATCCAGCGTTCTTTTAGCAATATTCGAAAGAAAAGTATTGATAAAAATATTTGGTGCAACAGAAATCGATGATACCTGAAGAAAAAGATTTAATTATAAACTTTACTGGAATTATAAGAACCGTAATATTATACAATATATTTAAGATCCGTAAAAAGTTTTTTTTTCTTTTTACATCATAAGAAGCATTGAAAGAGCATTATAAGAAAATCAAAACCTGCTAAAAATTTAACCATAAGCTTGAAAAGATAAAGAGAGTGTTTAGAAGATCCAGACTGGATGAGATGGCTAGAGGAATTGGAAAATCCTACCTTAATAAGAAGTTGCTCTTGTTACGAAAAGAACGTTCTGAAAAATCTTATAGAACTGGAAAAACGCAACCCTCTGAAAACTGTAATGATGCTTTGGATAAGTTCCTTCTTTAGGCTAAGTTTTTCATGTCCTCAAGCCATGTCACATAATTTGAATCTTCCACGCATTTTATTTCCTATTGTCTTACTACAAGAATGTTCTTTTTCTTCAATTTAGAGTTTGAAATAGAATAGAGCTTGCCACTCGAGCTTAATAAAATCTTCGATAATCATACTAAACGCCTCTCATTCCCCAATCAAAATTGCTGAAAATTAACGATAGCTTTTCTTTTTTTTTTTTTTTTTTGGTCAACCAAATATATTTAACCGAATTAGGCTGAATGTGTTTCGATCAACACTCGCTCAAATTATTTTCTTCCCTACTAAGATTAAATTTGGTTATTTCCAAATTAAGGATGTCATGGTTCATTCCTCTGTTGCACTAGAAATCTCATATGTGAAGTAATTTTCACTCCATGTATTTCTGGATGACTTAAAGATTCATTCGCGCAAGTAACTGTTGTAAGTACTCAATATGTACTTTGTAGTCCTGGCTGATTGATTAGTGGTGCCTGTTGATACATCTTTTCTTCTGGATTCATCTTTCTGTCGAAGTCGTGAATGTCTATAAATGTGTAGTATATTCGCGACATGAGAACTTTCCAAATAACCGAAGAACCGAAAGCTTCCTCGACAGACTGCTGGTAGATAAAAAAGAACAGGGAATCCTTGGAACCATTTCTCATGTCCATCAAAACTGGGAAAACTCAAACTATTTTACCTAGAAGGTTCCAAAGGCCTTGGTAAACCACAAGCGTTATGTTTTTCTTCTCGGCTTTATTAAAGTTCGTGGATGTGTTTGATCTGGATGTGATTCAAAATCAGGAACACTAAAAACAACAACACACGTACCTTACCACAAAATTTAATGTTGTAAGCATTTTACTTTGCAGAAAATTGCAATTCATTTTGTAGAGACATTAAGTATTTTTGGAAGCAGCAAGATGAGAAATAAGCAACGCCTTCCCCGGGAATCGAACCGTGGACCTCTCAATTACGCGCTGAGCGTGCAGACCACTACACCACGAAGGCTCACTAAGAAGGTGGGAGAAATACCTTATAATTTTAGAAATGCAACTGATAATTTTGTTTAAAATAATACGTAACTTAAATGTTTTAAATTTTAAATCTATGTTAAATATATTAAAGTTAAAAAAAATCTATGTTTTACAACATCTGTAAACATTTAATCAGGATTCGAAGCATGAAGTATCCAAAATAAATCGTGCCTTAGCTGATATTCGAAACGGGGTCTTACATATCACAAGTGGGTAATGTTATCCCACTTACATAATCACAAGTCGCATGGGGATTGCTTTAATGCCTTTCCTTTTCTTCCTCTTAAAAGGATGTCTGGGAGAGGCACGAGATCCAGTAGACCAAATATAAGTGATGACCAGTTATCATCCTTCAGAAATTCTAGTTCTGGCATCGCTGAATAGAATTTTTTTCATACTATTTGTAGCCAGGAATCTTAATTCAATTGTGCTGTGTAACGAAAGATTCTAGATCAAATGTCGAATCACTCATAATCCAAAATGAGATGCATGGCCTGGAGGGTTTTCCATAAATTTTAATTAAACTTAATATTTACATATATACAATGTAGGCTAAAATGCCTGAATCGAATATTTAAAGCTCAAAAAGGAAGAACTGAATAGTTCCATCTAAGAATCTAAATCGAATTCTATTGTGTAGTGCATCGAAATCTATCGTCAGCAAGAAGAATATTTTTTCAAGTCACGTGTTCAGAAGGGGAAGGGTTAAGTAAGCCAATAGATGGACTCCTAACGCCATCTCTTGGCGATATCAAAGAATATTCCTTAAACACATCCCCACCTGAACTCTGACAAGAGTTCATCTAACTCAGTTATACATACAATCAAGTACATAAATCACTATTCTATATAAAAATACAAAAAATACTAATTAGTCAAACACTTCAATTCCAAAACAGGTTATACACAACATGTATCAAATATTAAATGTTATAACTAATAAATGAACTAAATTTTAAAAATATTTTCAACTTAGCTAAACAAACTTAACTAACACTATTAAATTGAATCATTAATAGCAAAAAAAGAAAAAAGCATAACTAAATCGTTAAAGTTCAAAATATCTAAAGTTTAAGAGGATATAGATGCTGAACAGTACGTTTTAAAGTCCCATTAGCAGTTTTTAATTCGAATGATCGGACTTCACCATCACGTCCAGGAATAGTTTTTATGATTCTACCAAGTTTCCATAACAGTTTATTTTTATTATCTCCTTCAACTAAAACAATATCTTCCTACTTTTAGTTTTGATTGAAGTTTCGGATTCTTCAAGAAATGGGCAGTTCTAAGATCTAATAAATATTGTTGCTTCCATTTACACCACAACTGTTTTAACAGCAATTCTTGATAACACTTTCTTTTTAAAAGCGTTTATCTTGTCGTTTCGCTACCGATGATTCTAGCAAAAGTCAAAGGATACTTCAAATCAGTTTGTCCAATGTTTAGAAAGTGCATTGCAGTCAACGGTTGTGGCTCGTCATTGTCGTTGTAAACGTAACTTAGAGGTCGTGAATTAAGAACTGACTCCACTTCGACAAGTAGTGTAGACATTTCTTCGAAAGTCAACAAAGCTTTTCCTACGATTTTTCTTAAACATTCTTTAACAGATCTAACAAGTCTCTCATAAAACCTTCCCCACCATACAGTAAATCCTTTGAATTATCCCATGCCATACCTAAGACCTTAAATGGGAAATTTTCTCTATTAAAATCTTCAGGATTTTCATCTGGAACGATACCCTGTTTTACCCACACTTCATGTAATTGTATTGAGTTACTATGCCATTTGTGAAGCTGCATGCTTGCTTCCTTAAATATTTGGACCGATTCTAACTCGTATTAATGCTTTCGTGATCGTTTGGTGGCTTCCCTCAACATCATGTTATACATATACGTTCTCATGCAAAAAAAGGAACCGTTGTAGGATAAGTTTATTCTATTTTTTCAGATGTAGGCCAATAGAAATGGACTAACTATTTATTACGAATAAATTCTAGTGAACCTATATATGTCAGGAGAGAAATGGTTTCATCATTAGGGAAGCGGAAAACAGAAACCTGGTTGCGTTCATCGATTTTTTCAGTATGAGAACTGTAAAAAGGCTTTTTTAATCTGCGGTAAAGGCTATTGGATATACGAAATCTTAACAACATTCGAATATTCCTGGGTATAATTTTGGCCCAACATGTAGACAGGCATTTTAAAGACATGGATCCTGGGATGCGTGAGCATCATTGACAAACGTAATTTACTTGTACTCGATCCTCGCGTATAACTTCCCATGCATAAGTAAAACACATCTCTTCATTTGAATTTCTACACTGGTTTCGATAATATTTTGTTTTAACTGACTCTTAGTACGTTCCTGTTCGGAAAACAGATTAGGATTTTTTTAAACTCTTTTTAAGTCGATTAATCGTTGTTCTGGATTCCTATTAATTTTTTAGATGATGTGTCATGTTTCAAGGCAATCTAACTTTATAGCGAGAATTTCATATGTTATAATTGTTTCGAAATATTCGACGACTTCATTTCAGTTGAATCGAGGTTTTCCCTCCTTATCAATAAATCTGAGTTTTCCAAGCCCAAAATTTTGTTATTTGTTTGGAAATCAAATCTTCCCCTACAACACAATTGAAAGTTAAAGAGACATCATCATCACCTTTTCGTCCATGTAGGCACCAGCCGAAAATAGTTTTCACTGCAACAAGATTTTTGCTTAAGTATTTAACGTGTCCCATTACGATGTTAATAAAATAATAATCTGCACTAATTAGAATGGCAATGGGTTTTTTACAATCGGGAAAATCTGCGAGCATCAAATTTTTTAATTGTCTGTTTTGCTTAATTTCTTCTGATTTAGGAGGAGGAATAACTTTACCGGATATATGATCAGTTACAAATAATTCAACTTCTATTCTAGAATCGGGAGAACTTCTATGTTCTAAAGTTAATTTAACTACGTCATAATTTTTTTGGATGGGTGAGGTATTCCCAAAAGTGTAGACAGACAATTTTTCTTTTCTTATGACTTCGAGGTTTAATCTGTCCGCTAACTCGAGAGCACAAAAACTTTTCATACTTCCACTATCCAAGAGAAGTCTGGCAAACACCTTTTCCTTAGATGTTTTAACTTTTATCGTGCAAGTCTGTAAAAGAATTGTGTTATTTGCACTATGTGAAACGGCCGAAACAATTTCTTCTTTCTGTTCTTTCTGTATCATTTTTCGAAATTGATATACTATCCTTTTTATCACTTGGTGTATTTTAACTAACTTTGTCCTTTAACAGACAAATTGTCTGTTAAAGGACAGACAAATTTTCATTACTACACATTACCATAAAGTAGTCTGAAACTCAAATTGCTTGCAGATTCGTTTTTAACCAAAAATGAAAAGGTTTTTCTTTCAGAAAACAAAATATTTTTAATTTAATTTTATTTACTTTAAAATTAATTTTATTTATTAAAGCATATTTAAACAAAGATAATGATGCCGATAATAATACCAAGATACAATGGCAGAGATAGTAATAAAAAATGACGCAAAACGGAAATATTCTAATTTAGATATACGTTTTGTCTGAAATCTGAAAGTTGGGATTTTCAAGAAATTTCTGTTGGTTAAACTTTGGAATTCAAACGTAATTAATAGCTAAATATTAAATTTCAGACCGATTTTAAAATAATTCTAATATGTTGTAGAGACATTAGGTATTATTAATGAAACAGAAGAGATGAAAAATGAGCAATCGCCTTCACCGGGTATCGAACCACGGACCTCTTGAAATACCGGCCCAGCGTGCAGAACCACTACACCACGAAGGCAAGGCGGAAGAAATACCTAAAATAAACCAATTGCGAAAATTTTCGAAGTAGGATAAAACTTCAGAATAAATGACAACCTATTAACTTCTTTTGATTTATTAAACTTTTCTTTGAACGCATATAGAAAAAATACATATATTGGCATGTAAGTAATTATGTGCGCGCGTGTGTGTATGCAACTTACGTCGTCCACGAAATTCAACGTGACAAGGCGTGCGAGACTGCGCCTGTCGTTGGCAAGAGCTTTGAGTACCATACAGGAGACAGTATGACTTTGCTCAGTTCCACCCCCACCGCCAATTTTGATGTAGAGCAGCGGGGGGGGGGAGGCGGATCGTAGGGTTTACTGTCCCTCTTCCCCTACAATTAATCTCTTGAGAGGACTTTTGGCTGGCCGGATATTTAGAGTGCCCCCATGCCGCACAGAAACTATACATTTACAAACATCCGTGTCTTCTCAGGGATTCGAACCCGTGTCCTTCGGTACGACAGTCAGCTTCGCTAACTATATCCCAGTTTGGAGGCGTTTAAATAATTATAAATTTCTTTACTTCTTAGTATTTACAACTTTCAGTTACAACGTTTTATGTCGCTTCCATTTTGGCAAAGTTCGTAACCTTGCGGAAAAACTACTAGAAACTATTTGTATCACAATTTACAGAAGCTCGTCGATCAATCTAAGGTTATTATTACTATTATTACTGTTATTATACTTAAATAATTTTAAGCTGTGCGGAGAAAACTGCTCGCTTATAAATAATGCGCTCCCGAAAAAAGCGAATATTGTTATTGCAAATATTCGTAATTGGAGGTATTTATCTTTTGACAAGTATGAAAAAGGGGAAAGCGCAGAATCACCTACTGTTTCGCGCATGTTTAAAAATTGCACGACCTCGGTATCCCTGTGCATATCGACCTATTTTCACTTAAAAAAACTAATCAGAGAATTGCACAAATTCGGCATTGCGCACTCTCTTGACTTTGTTCATATACGCATCGATACATTTTCACTTAAAAAGGTCAAAGGAAATTGACAAAAATTCTATTCTTCTTACTCTTGTAAAAAGCGCCAAACATAACGCGCCAAATAAGTGGGCGGTTCTGCACTTCACCCAAAGGTTAATCAATTCTGTATTTTAAAATCTTCGAATAAGATTTATTTATATAACAATGTAAATGAATTAGCTCTATTTGTAGATTTTCTGGGGCGTTATTCGTATTCGTTTTTAATAATAATAAAAATAATCTAGGTATCTGCTTAAAGAAAGGATGCCTTCATGGACGACTTTCTAAGAGAACTTATGGACTTCTGAATAAAAAAATGTGAATTATTATTACATTTTATAAAAAAATTAAATTTTAAAAAAAAAAGATTTATATTTAAAATGTCCATTAAAACTAAAAATTCTATTTTTGAAAAGTAAATGCTTTAGAATAGAAATTGGTAATGGAATTTATGTAAGTATAACTAAAGAGATTGTAAAGACATTAGGTACTTTTGAAGCAAGAGTGATGAAAAATGAGCAACGCCTTCCCTGGGAATCGAACCACAGACCTCTGGAATACGCGCCCAGCGTGCAGACCACCACACTACGAAGGCATGCTAAGAAGTCGGGAGAAATACCTTATATACTGCCCCTTTTAAAGGACGACTGGGAGACCCAATCGCCAGATCCTGGTGGTGAAGAATCATCAGTCACCACCTTTTAGTTTGGGCGCCACTGTAGAGACTTTTAGGTATCTTTTTGGAGGCAGGAGAAATGAAAAATGAGCAGCGCTTCGCCGGTACTCGAATCATGGGCCTCTCGAATACGCATCCAGCATGCAAACCCCGTACACCACGAAGGCACGCTAAAAAAGCCGGAGAAATACCTTATATACTCTCCCTTTTAAAGGGGTTTTTAGGGGACCCAATCGCCAAATCCTGGGTGTGGAGAATCATCACCTACCACCCTTTCAGTTCGGACACCACTGTTGAGACTTTAGCTATTTTTGAAGCAGGTGTTACAAAAAATGAGCAACGCATTGGCCAGGAATCGAACCAGGGACCTCTGGAATACGCGCCCAGCGTGCAGACCTCCACACTGCGAAGGCATGCTATATCTTATAAGATGTTATTTGAAATTAGCCAAGAAAGCAAAATTAACTGGCATAAGCTTTGAATCCAAAGGTTGCTATTTTACCTAATTTTAGTTTTTACATTGGCGATATTCTTATTTAATTACAGAAGTACTATTTCAGGTCGCTACAAAATGAACTTTACCCAGTATTCAACTTTTAATCAAGTTCGAAAGTATTCACTTACCTGAATCATTCGATACTTGGCAAGTCCCGACGTCTTTTGGGAAAAAGATGACATCATATAAAACATCGTGAGGACATCAGCTTGACAGATTTCGAGCAAAGCATTGTCTTTCAACGGTTGCGTAAGGTCAGCTTTTAAGAATTGGAAACTCAGTCTCATCTTTTCGGCATCGAAAAACTGTGGCGTTTGCTCTAGCACTTGCATCACATTTTGGGTTGTTATGTTCCAGTTCTCATCATTATCAATAACTGTTATGTGCAATGTTAGTTGCTGTTTACTTTGAAACCAAAACGCTTGATAAACAGCAGTTACTATTTTACTGACAGCTACAGCGTCTGTACCTGGACCTCCGGCCAGACAGCAAACCTTCAACTCTCCTTGACGCAATAGTTGGTCAATTTTGCAAGGATATTGTTTGAATAACTGTAACAAATGATGACCAGCTATGCTAGAAATCAGAGGCGAATGCTTAAACACATAAGCACATCTTTCAACAGCAGTGTTATAAACTGGAACAGCTCTCCATTTGTCAAGAGTTAGTAAACTCCGCTCCAGAGCACGTTTTAACACTGGAACATTCTTTCTCTTTTTTATATTAAATTCTTTACTAATTACTTTGTGGTAAAATCCCAGTAAATGCCAAGCAAAGTCTTCGAGAATATCAACAGGCAGATTTATTTTAAAAAGTTCCATGATCTTTTCCGACTGTTTAAGCTACCATACTTTTTACATATAAACGATTTATTACCTTAGCTCTTCCGCAACACACTCGACAGTATTTATAAAATCACTTCGGGTATTTACCTTTGTTCTTAAGGTAACCTGCATTCGAAACCGAAAGTCAGGCCGGGTTTCCAGATTTGGCAGCATTAAAGCCTTTGGCGACAGTTTGTTTCATACCTTGGCGAAAGCAAAGATAAGGGTTATCAGCTTTCTGATTAGTGCTGCTTTCACAATTTTCACTTTAAAGGCACGCGAAATTCGTGATTAAAATGAAAAATGCATTTTAGGGATAATTCATTCACTGAGTGTTTTGGAAATCTGTTTGTGATAATTAGCAATGCTGACAGTCTTATTTTCGATTTTTTCCCCCCTTCGGATAAAAATTCTGATTAATTTTTTTTCTCAGCATTATTAAATTAATCTCAAAACTAAGCATTCTGAATATAAAAATATTTTAAGATTTAGAGCAGTTTCTAACCTGAGAAAATTGATACATTAATTTTGCTTTGTGAAGTAAAAGTTCTCGGTATATGAGTGACTCATACTGAAACTTAAAAGTTTGTTTGGACAGCTGAGAGGCAATCGCTGATCTGATTCCGAGAACGTAGATGGAGTGTACGATAGCGCGTGTTTACGTTTCAATATCCTTACATTCTTTCCATAAGAAAACTAGACTTCTTATGGCATGAAAGAAGTTTAATTATTTTTCCTCTTAATTTAAATACACGTAACTCCAAATACATTCTTCATACATTTCGAGGCATCGAAAGAAATGCTTAGAATTATCGCCGCTATTAGTTTATATTTCAGTGAAATATTGTATTTCTTCAATGCGATTTCTTCGATTTCAAAAACACGCCCTTGAAACTTCAATTCCATGAAGACAAAGATTTACATTCAAATAACACGAACGAAATCGAATGTTAAAGCACATCTAGAAAATACACTCTTAGACAAAAAAAAAAAAAAAAAAAAAAAACGCACCAAGAAGGAGTTATCCGAATGGGACGAAAATCGGTAGAAGTGATGTAAGTACAGAAAACAATGATTCAGTTTGGAAAATTGGATAATTTATTGAAGTGATAGAGCTTCACAAAGTGAAAAAGTCAGTAACGTGTTTGTCCACCTCTGGCCCTTATGCAAGCAGTTATTCGGCTTGGCATGGATTGATAGAGGTGACTTATTAAATGTTAAGGTGAGAGTTTATAGCTTAAAACAAAATAATGTGATTATCAGAGGATTTAATCAGAAAGCTGACGAGCTGATGACAGCAAGTGCAAGTTGCCAACAGCCGATATTGGTAAAACAATAAAATGCTAATACAGAACAAAAATACGCAAAATACGTAACCAAAAATACAGGACCGTAAGATACTGAGAACATATAACCAAAAATATAAGATACAGCCATTGTTCACAGATGATCCTCTTGCTGATAATAGACATGGGTCGTTTATTAATTTTAACATCATTAAAATCACAGTTTTAAATATTGATTGCTGGATTTAACAGACTACGCTGCTTGACATGAATTTTTTTGTAAGATGATAGAAATATATCCCGATTTGATAGATTTTTATTTTTTCGTAGATCTTGCTATTACGCACGTTCCATTCGTATTCTCCTACTGGTCTTATATAAATAGGTACAGACCGTGCAGACATTACAAAGCATGGGACGCAAAATGGGTTTATAAATGAGTAGTGCATTATAATTAAATTATTCCGTGCATTGGGGATAGGGTTGAACTTTACGTGCACGAAACTGTTGGATAATTGATGTAATTTGTGAGTTTCATAAAAGCGTATTAGTGAGGATCACCCCAAGATAAGGGACTTCCTAGCACAGGGCAGAGCAGATCCATAAAACTGCAAGTTTCCACTGATTTTCTTTTTTTTTTGTGTGTGTGTATGAAAAGTATGGCAATAGTCTTATCGACGTTTGCTTGAATTTTCCATCTAGTCAGCCAGATCTCTAATGCCTGGATGTTAGATTTTAACAGTTGGATTACCGGACTAATAGATGCGCTTACTGCAAGGATCGCTGCGTACACTGCTAGTGTAGTGTTGGGTATGATGGGAATGTCGTTCACATAAATATTAAAATGCGTGGGTCCTTAAAGGGACACTTGCCTGACACCAGCTGAGATGGCTCGTCGTGTGTGTTTAAGAGGCAATTTTATTGTTCGTATTTATCGTTTATTTGCTGCAGTACTATTTAGGATTAATTATATACGTTTTTCTTCACCAGCGGGCTGTAGCGACACGGTGGTGTCGGCTGTTCGGTGGTGTCGGCTGTAGCCGTTTAGAGGGATTGGCCTCTACTAAGCAGCTCCGATGCGACGCTGCTTATCACTTGACTACCGACGTTCTTCCCTCCAGCCTCTGCTCGACGGAATTCATCTATCAGAAGAGCAAGGAGCTTCTTTCCTTTCTTTTTCTTCACCACAAATTTCCACCTCCATGGCGAGAACCTTCCATTCAGGCTTCTTCGCTGCCAGGCCCTACACTGGACTACATCAGGAACTGGCAAGAGCAGGATAAATTTTCCTGCTGGGTGGCCAGTATAGCCACAAAGTTCCAAAGGCCGGAAGGCTGTGGTCTCTTTTTTTTATGGAGTCATCTAATAGGTGGGCCACCGTTGCCTTCTGGGAAGGAACGGACAAATTACATCCACGCCTTTCTGGAATTCGAACCCGGGCTCTTCGATACGGAAGTCAGAGTCAATGTGTGTGGCGTGAAATAGAATACTCATTGGATATTTTGCAAGCTGCCAGGGGTGAACATGTGGAAGTTTATTAAATATTTTCTATATGATTATAAACTTTGAGAATTTATGCACTTAAGGTTCAATTCATGTTTCGTTATTTATGCACAGTAATGGTGTTTCGTAATTAGGGTGAGCATTTGTGGATATTTTATATGTAATTTAATACGGTTATTTTATTTACTTTATTCAATGTAGCACAAAGACTGTAACATTTATTTAATGTTTTACTATTGCATATGTGATTGGCTAGTTTTTCTTTGGTTTCCATTCAGATAATTCAAAGATTTAATGATATAACTAAGTACTCATCAAACGTTTTGGAAAATATTTAATGAAAAGAAGACTTTTTACCTATTATTTAGGAATAATTTATTAAATTAAAACAAAAGTTTGTTTTGAAGGGGAAATTGAAGGGGAAGTTACCGATATTTAGGAAGGTTTCATTCGTAATTAAATTTCACAACTGAACGGGAATTTCCCGATATTTATCTAAGATTTCATTCGTAATCTTATTCGAAAACGTTCGGTGTCTGAAACGACGGATGCGAAATTTTTATCGCTCTGAACTAAAGTGTTGCAAGAACGTTTATTTTCTATGAAACCAGTATTTATCTCAAATAAATAATGATAGTGCCATTATTCGTAGCAAGATATTATCATTATTTTTTTAGCCACTTCCCAAATAAGTGAATTTAATCTATCTAACCAGATTTACTGGCGTTTAAAATAAAATTCTGTTTCGTTATTTTCGTGTAGCTACAATTTTTATCAAATCAATAAAACTGACATATAAATTTAAAAATAAACAATTTAGAAATTTTTAAAATGAAAATAAAATAAATAAAGTTGCTATGCATTTGAATGAGTACATTGGCGAGAAAATGAATAATTATTTTATATTGCATCATGTTAATTTAGTGTACTTATCTTATATTAGCATCATGCAATAAATGTCATATGATGTTGTAGATACATTAGGTATTTTTGGAAGCAGGTAAGGTAAAATTTAGCAACGCCTTCTCCGGGAATCGAACCGCGGACCTCTCATTTATGCGCTGAGCGTGCAGACCATTACACCACGAAGGCTCGCCAAGAACGTGGGAGAAATACCTTATATACCCCCCTTTTAAAGGCCGACTGGGGCAGCCAATCGCCAAATCCCGGGTGAGGAGAATCATCACCAAAACCCTTTAGTTCGGGCGCCACTGTAGTTAAGATGTCAAACTCGCGGGCCGTAGGCGGCCCCAATATTTTGCGGCAAATATATAAAATTATAATAAACTAAAATATCGACAGAAAAGAATGAAGTTAATGCTCGTTGAACGATACTTTATTCAGTGTTGTTAGATTACTCACAGCGGCGCACACACACTACGTAAATTACAAATCGGGGAGTAGATTGCTCAGCTACCTTCGGCTTTGGGGGACACGTGCATCCCCCGAAGCAAATGTGGCCGAACTCATGGTCTCAGTTTTCCAATCTAGTTTTGTACGAGAGAGTGCGTGCTGCGTGCATGAACTGCTTTATTCTAAATATTACTTAATGCATTGTTACGGAGTCATAGTATTGATTTCTTAGTTTTTTGTATTGAGAAGTGTATTAGATTGGCGTCAGTGCCTTGCAAGAGATTTTGAAAGACAGCTGCGTTGGATGGTTAAATAGAACACGCGTGCATTTAATACAAATAAATAAATATCTCGTATTGCTGTTGCATCCACAAAAATCCGATATTGATAGATCTTCCGTATTCGAGAAAGCAATTATAAAGCTCTAAAAGCCGATACACCAACTCAGCCGCATAGCTGTATTCTACAAAACTGTTTGTTTACTTAATGTGTGATTGATTTGTAGAGTTTCGCGGTGCGAGAGAATTAGTTTCTCTGTTTTGAATTGATCTTTGCCTAAAAGTTTGACATTTTGTGATTTGAGAATGGGGGAAGAAATATTTCGCATTAGATTTATCTCTTGTGAAAGTAAAAAATTTGTCTTTTTAGTAAACGGTACAGTTTATTCAGATGTCTATTCAAAACCAAGTTGGAGTTAAAGAAAAAATCGCGAGAACATAGATATTCCAAGTAAAATGGAATTAGAATATTTTGTGTGAATAAAGATAAAATAACTGCTTATATGAAATAATACTATAATGTATCAAAGTTTATATATGAAACGTCATTAGGAACACCAATCGAAAATAACAATTACAAAGATAAGAGAGAAGAAAGTTGAAAGAGCTAAGTTAGGAGTGAAAAAGCACAGTCATGTTCTAATATTGCAGAAGTGAAGCGGC